AAAAATCACAAGCTCTTCTCCACCTACTTTAATGCTTCCAGGTCCATATGACACATTTCCAGAACCCGTCAAATCAAAGACGGATCCCTTCAGAACCCAATTTCTAACATCACACGGGCTGTCCACCTTGTGACTTTGTTAGGAAATGAAAAGTCAATTTTACCTTCTCTCGCTTCAGATGATGCCTGTTGCCAAGGTGACCGCCATAACCCAGGTTACCGACCCTTCCTGTGAGATGCACCATGTGATTGGCTTATCAGCTGCAGGGGAGGGGGGGTCTACACTTTGAACATTTTGATTGGCCATCTGGCTGGCAGAAGCAAGAGCCCCAGCAGACAGATTCAGGAGAGAGCATTGATTTAATCACCTGGCAAATGGATACATGCACGTACACGCACACTCACACACACACACACACACACACACACACACACACACACACACACACACACACACACACACACACACACACACAAACACTGCAAAGCACTTGCAGGCTGAAGGTGCAGGGGGAAATTTAGGCCCAGTGGGGGTCACCTCTTTTGTAATGTGTGTGTGTGTGTGTGTGTGTGTGTGTGTGTGTGTGTGTGTGTGTGTGTGTGTGTGTGTGTGTGTGTGTGTGTGTGTGTGTGTGTGTGTGTGTGTGTGCACGTGTGTGTGTGCGTCTGTGTGCACGTGTGTGTCTGTGTGTGTGCAATATCATGCTCTCCAGGAGGAGCGTTGCTGGCAGTAATAGAAGCTCTCCGAGGAGCAGACCATGCTGGGTAATATCACACTCCCCAGGGAACTCGCCACACACACACACACACACACACACACACACACACACACACACACACACACACACACAGAGCCAGAGAACGCAATGCTCGACGCATAAGGACAGTGTCCAACACAGCTTACGTACTAATGCAAGGATCCAGATAGGGGAGGACACAAATCAAAAGTGCACACACATCTCATTAGCTTCTTGACTTGTCCTGATGTTGGACGGTTGGGGTCGGAGTGGGTTTTTCATACAATAGTTCTCTGGAAAATGGACTGCTCCATCTAAAACAAAAGTATTAAACAATAAAAGCAAAAATGTATTGTATCAGGTTAGAATGGCAGATTGCAAATGTGTTCGTCAAGCCAGTCTGGCATTGATAAAAAAAAAAACATTGTCATAAATAAATACCAACTCTCATGAGCAAAGTGCAAAGGACAACTTAAGGGTCAGAGTTCAGGGACAAAGCTGTTCTTCAGCATTGTTGTCCAGGTTTTAAAGCTGCTCAAACCTCTGCCTGAAAGAAGGGTAGTAATGGAGCCTGTCATCTGTATCAGCCGATTTTAATCCTAGAGTAATGCTCCTCTAACCCTAATCCCAACCCTTGTGTAGCAAACAGTCTTCATTCCTCTCGATGTCTGCACATTCTTAGTTTCAGATTCACACACAGCATTAATTACATACCAGCAACAGGTTGGAGAAATCAGCACTTGTTATTGTCTGATAGTGGCAGAATAGAGGAGAAAATTAGTGAGCTGCAGGTGTTAACGGCTGAAGAACAAAGTCAATTCTAAAATTAAAAAAATCCCTAATGAGGAAATAAAGGCTAACATTTCCAAACTGTTTCATCTACATCAGAGTCACTCATCCCAAGGAGGGGTCATGTTCATATTCTTATTTTCCACTTATTTTAAAAGTGAACTATAGGGGCCATATCATAGAAAATCCCCTTTCTGGAGCCTTTTCTAATGTGATATTGTCAGTGTTGGGAGTAACTGCATTTAAGTATAACGGCATTAATAATAGAGTTACTTTTAAGGTAACAGAGTAATCTAATTAGTTACTTTTCCCATTGTTGCAACGCCGTTACAGTTGCTAGGCTTGTATACTGGCGTGCTACTCTGTTACTATAATGTAGTTAAATGATGCACACCAGTTGTCTGGCTGTCTGACAGCCACACCAGTGATGTGTTAGTCGCACAAAATGGCTCTTGAGCCAACCAAGTACCAGCACCCGCCATCCCACGCTGGTTTACAAACAGCAAAAATGAACACACAGCGCCAAACTACATCCGGGTGTTTGTTTACAGATCAGAGATGAGTATGTGTGCAGCACCGTGCACACTCATCATGGTGACATGGTGTGTACCACACTCAACATGGACCAAAGAAAGCAAAGGAAAGAGTTGTCTCAGGAGACTAGAAAGAAAACTATAGACACGCATGTTAAAGGTAAAGACTATAGGGCATTCTCCAAGCAGCTAGATGTTCCTGTGACTACAGTTGCACTTATTATTCAGAAATTTAAGATCCATGGGACGGTAGCCAACCCCCCTGGGTGTGGTCGAAGGAGGAAAAATGATGACAAATCAAAGAGACGGATGTTCTGAATGGTAACAAAAGAGCCCAGAAAACCTTCTAAAGTGATCCAAGGTGAACTTCAAGCTCAAGGAACATCAGCGTTAGATTGCACTATTTATCGTTGTTTGAGCCAAGTGGACTACATGGGAGACGACCAAGGAGGTCATAAAAAATCATGAAAAAGCCAGACTGGATTATTCCAAACAACATGTTGAAAATCCACCTAACTTATAGGAGAATGTCCTATGGACAGATGAGACAAAAATAGATTTTTTTGCCAAGAAACATCAGCTCCATGTTTACAGATGAAAAAAATGAAGCATATCAAGAAAAAACACTGTCCCTACTGTGAAACACGGAGGAGGCTCTGTTATGTTCTGGGGCTTCTTTGCTACATCTGACACAGTGTGTCTTGAATCTGTGCAGGGTACAATGAAATCTCGAGACTGTCAAGGGGTTCTAGAGAGAATTGTCCTGGCCAGTGTCAGAAAGCTTGGTCCCATTCAGAGGCCATGGGTCTAGCAACAGGACAATGACCCAAAACACACCCAAGAATGGTTAAGAGGAAAGCATTGGGCTCTTCTAAAGTGGCCCTCTATGAGGCCTGACCTCAATCCTATTGAGCTTCTTTGGAAGGAGTTAAAACATGCCGTCTGGGAAAAGAGCCCTTCAAATCTGAGGCAGCTGGAGCAGCTTGCTCATGAGGATTGGGCCAAAATACCTGCTGAGAGGTGCAGAAGTCACAATGACAGTTACAGGAATCATTCGATGTGCCACTCTGCCATATTCAATGGCTGCAGCCCTACTTTAAACTTCCACCAGTACCAGAGTGGATATTCTGTCAAATTACTTCTGCACTGGGGACAAAACCTTTTTGTATAAACCAGGCATCCTGTCCGCAAAGATGCACGTGATGGCCAGCACAGGATATGTGTCTAAGGGCTGAAATATACTTGCTGCTTAACCTCATGTTGGCGCAGGCAGCATTCTGCATATTTTTTCACATACTTGCTGCTACACTACGCTGCATGTAGTACTGGAGTGTTCCACTAGGGTGGTGCGCACAAACAACGCTTCAAATCAACACAAGTAACGCGTGGCAGCCATTCTAAACACGCATTTGCATTGTTAAACAGCAAGTATATCACGACCCTTAGGTGACTATGGTTTTGTTACAGACTTGGTAGTCCAGTGGTTAGTACAACTGGGTGGTGAGCTGTTTTGCACCGGTTCGAATCCCGGTCTCGGCATTACATTTTTTTTTTTTGTCTTTTTTAGATACGCTTGCAAGTATGCAGTTTTCAACCCTTTATTGGTTAAATTTTTAAAATATAAGGGCTAATTTTGTTTACATCATTGTCGGTACATAGCAAAACAAGATGAATGTCCTTTATAAAAAATGGTCAGAAAAAGTATTTTTTTTAATTTATTTTTCCAATACAATTAATTGTATGGCCTAAAAGACTATAATATGATGTAGATATTCATGGTAGTAACAGGTGATGACTCCTTTAACCACAGGACTATCAGTACAAAAGCAGACTTGCCTGAAACTCTGTTGCAGGTGCGTTTTGTTGGAGTGGGCATAGGTGGAGCTTCGCTGAAATGAACCATTTCATTTCCGTATATAAATTCAGTAAAATTGCTTACATTTAAGATAAAATTACATCTCATAGTGCCAACGATACGATTTTATCATATATTGTGCCTACCTTTGTTCTCAAAAGTTTAAAATAGCATGATCTGGAACCTTTAAAATCTGATTAGCACCAGAGGTTCAGTGGATAAAACTACAAAAATGGCCTCTGCTCAGGAACAGCGGTTGATTGAAATGGCTTCAGCATCAACTTTAGAAGATGTAGACCAGGGGTCCCCAACTAAATTTGTTCAAGGGCCGGAGGTTTTTCCAGCAGACACCGTGAGGGCAAGGTGTTCTTCTAAAATGCAGAGTTGGCAGATAAACATTTTATACTATGTGTATTTACTGGAATACTGCTGAAGTATTCAGTCATCTTCCTTCTTCTTCTCCACTACTTTCCGTCTCCTCCCTACTCCTCCTGGTTTGTCCAACACAAACATTCAGATTAAAGCAGCATGAAAAGCCGCTCCACCCATAGACGGAGTTTGTTTTCTCTGAGGCCTCTGTCTGTTATCTATATGCTGGTTTCACTTAGATTGGAAGCTGACAGCTTCATTAGGTGAGGAGGGGTGAGGGGTGCTTTGATCTAAAAATACACACCATCATTGCCTCTGGGAGGAAAAAAGTTTTTCGGTCTTAATCAGAGAGAAGTGTCTTGATTCTTTTTCTTCTCCAAGGAATGGCTAGGAATCGGAAAACAGTGAGCATTGAGGGTGTATTAAATTTTACTCCTGCTAGTGTTCAATCTTGGGAACATGGTGATGTTTTTATGGTCGAGGTTTTTGGGGCAAGAGGCTGTAATCTCTCTGTGTTTGAGCCAAGAAAGGCACAGATCTTTGTATTTCTACTGGTTTTCCTCTAAACAGGAAGACAGCTTTGTTGTGTGTCTGGGTGTCTTTGATAAATAAGGTCTGGACTTTGAGTTTTCCACCTACTGGCTCCGGTCAGGATGCGAGATGACACTTAACATATTTCTGTCTTTCCTCCCCTTTCCCCACGTCTTCTCTCCAACAGAGCATAGGTAAAGGCTCCTTGTGGTCCATAGATCCTGAGTACAGGCACAACCTGATCCAGGCTTTGAAGAAGACACCGTACCATCCCTACTCACCCAGCCTGACCGCCCCTTCCACCTCCCCTCCAACTCTACCACCGACATTTCACCACAGGTAAGAAGGACCTTCCACGATGGCCACAAAGCAAAGAGACGATCTGTTCAATTCCTTCTGTTTATAAAACCTGTGAACAAAAAAACCTCCAGGATTTTACTTTTTATTTTAACTTAACAAACACAAAAAGACACAAGAGAAAAGAAAATACAGTATTTAAATGTTGTAACGGCATGAAGGTTCTCTGATTTGTGCCAAGGGTCACATTTGCCCAGCTGGGTCAAGCTGGGTCAAACAGTAATAATAATAATAATAATAATGCATTGAACTTATATAGCGCTTTTCTAGACACCCGAAGACGCTTTCACACACTCTCCCATTCACACACTGCTAGTGATGGTAAGCTACTTGTAGCCACAGCCGCCCTGGGGAGGTCTGACAGAGGCGAGGCTGCCATTTGGCGCCGTCGGCCCCTCTGACCACCACTAACACAGGCAAGTTGGGTGAAGTGTCTTGCCCAAGGACACAACAGCAGGATACCCCTGGCGGGAGCTGGAATCGAACCCATGACCCTCCGTTCATGAAGCAACCCGCTCTACCACCTGAGCTACTGCTGCCCCAAACAGTACTTTGAATCCACAGATTAAACCCAAGGAGCCACGATGTCTGCTCAAGATCATAACATCATCTGCTGTTCCGTCCCAAGAAGGACACTTCGAGCCACGATGATAATAATTAGATACTATAAAGATGTGATCAGCAAAGAAGACCTTTACCCTATCCAGCTAACACAGAGTTCAGATAAACAATAACTGCATCACGTTTTTTGACGCATGAGCAAGCTTTCTTCTGGAGAGAGAGGGAGGGGTTCTGAGAAAGTTTGGTAAAACTAACCATCACAGATTTCACGTCCATTTCTGAACAAGACATCATCCTGAGGAGTCAGGGACAGCCGCCCTGAACCTCTGCCAAGCTGTTCTGTCACGCCGACAAGAATGGCTAAAGAACAAATGAAACTAACGAACTAAAGAAGACTCTCCCAGAGTCATTGATTTTTGAAGTTAAGTTAAATATGAGAACGTTCATCTGCCAAACGCTTCGTACACCGTGTACCCAGGACATCTCTGGACCGGACGATCGGACACTTGCATCTCCTCTACCAGCCGAAGTGTCATCTAGGATGAAACCCATCCTCCTGATGTCCGGATCCACAAAGGGGGCCCTGTTTGGGTGAGGTAGAACACGACAGATGACGTTTGATGCTGTTTTCTCTCGAAATAACTCAGTTATCCGCAAAACATCATTTTCACCCAGAACCTTTCATTCCGTCTGAAAGAAACCTTCTGAGAACTTCATTTACGCATCCAAAACTCATCATTCTCAAATTAGTTTTCCATCCAACACCGGTTTGCTTTTAAACAAGTTTAATATCAAAGCTGTTGAGAATTGTCATTAAAATTGCCATCCATGAATTGTCATTTTATAATTGTCGTTTCAAATTTTCAGTTTAAAATTGTTAGTAATACATTTCTTCATTTTTATACTTGCCTCATTATTGAAACGAAACACAGAAAAGGGTTGCACTTCCAGTTTATCGAATGAAAAGAATCTTACTGAATCTTCTGTTTAATAAATAAACTTTTGCTATTAATGTAAGTATCTTAAATTAATTTTCACCCCATTACAATGTGTTGCTACAAGCAGGTAATGGTAACTTTGATGTTCTGAAACAATATCAACACCCTCAACATTAATATAACAACCCTAGACTGCTTGTTTACTCTTTAGTGAAGACTGGATCTATTAGTCCATAAAAACTTCACAAAAAGGAAACGTTCTACACATCTAGAGCCAGTTTCAGAGGATCACATCATTATGGTCATTTGTGCTGCACAATACACAAAGCACCATGGCTTCTCCTGCAGGTGGTGGGTCCACAGGAGGAGGTTCTTACAGTAGGGCAAAAAAGTATTTAGCTACCAATTTTTCTCCCAAAGTTCTCCTAAAAATGAGAGAGACCTGTCATTTTCATCAAAGGTATACCTCAACTACGAGAGACAAAATGAGGGAAAAAAATCCAGAAAGTCACATTGTCTGATTTTTAAAGAATTTATTTGCAATTTATGGTGGAAAAAATGTGTTTGGTCTCCTACAAACAAGAAATATTTCTGACTCTCACAGACCTGTAACTTCTGTAAAAGACTTCTCTGTCTTCCACTTCTTACCTTCAATAGTGGCACCTGTTCGTTATCAGTATAAAGGACCTGTCCACAACCTCAAACAGTCACACACCAAACTCCACTACAGCCAAGACCTAAGAGCTGTCAGACCAGGCTGGGAAGACTGAATCCGCAATAGGTAGGCAGCTTGGTGTGAAGAAGTCAACTGTTGGAGCAATAATGGAAGACATACAAAACCACTAATAATCTCCCACGATCGGGGCTCCATGCAAGATCTCACCCCCACTGGGTCAAAATAATGACAAGAACAGTGAGCAAAAATCCTAGTACTCCACAGGGGGACCTAGTGAATGACCTGCAGAGAGCTGGGACCAACGTTACAAAGTAACATGCTGCCAGAGACTCAAATCCTGCAGTGCCAGTACATGTGCAGGCCAAAATACCAGCAACAGTGTGTGAAAACCTCGTGAAGACTTATAGAAAACGTTTGACCTCTGTCATTGCCAACAAAGTGTATATCACAAAGTACTTTTGCTTTATTGACCAAATACTTATTTCCCACCATAATTTGCCAATTAATTCTTTATAAATCAGACCATGTGATTTTGACGGCAGCTGCACGGCTAACTATGTTAGCTCCGGTAAGTAAAAATGAAGTCATTTGGGAAAGCTACGACACGCAAAGATTGGATCGAAATGGAGGGTCCGCATATTTCAAAAACAGATTCTCCTTAAACCCGGTGGAACTTACGTGCTTTTCAGGATTACTGCCGAAATTAACGAAAGTAGCTAACGACCAGCTGCAGCATCACTCAGTCAGGAGAAGTTATTCTGGTAAGCTATTGAGGATTTTTTTTTCAATATGTACACGCAGCGGTAAAACTGGCAGCACATTGTTTAATTTTTCTATAGATTACTGAATTATTTTGGCACAGACTGATGAGGCTAGCAGAGTTAGCTGCTATAACCAATCCACCAGCAGAGATAAAACGTACACGGTAAAAGTAAATAAACAGTACCAACTTTGGTTCTGAAGATGTTCACTATCCTCCCATGTCGGCTTTGCCATCAGCATCCAAATCGACCTGCATGCTGTCTGAGTTTTGAATGTGTCCAGCTGTGTGTTCATCTCGTAGGCTAACCAGCTTACGGCTCATATGAGTCAGTCAGGCTGAGTGACCCAGTTTCATCCGGCTCTCTGATATTCGTTCTCCTCGAAGCCACATCTGACTGATGAAACATTGTCCTCTGCTATAATGCTAACGCAAATAAACTGGAGTTGTGAATTGTTTAGGCTAACTGTTTGACCGGACTTCCCTTTCAAATGTCACTGACTGCCCGAGGCTCAAACTGGAGACAGTTTTGTGTTTTTTGCCGCATTGATGGGAACATTAGATTTTCTAAAAAATCCTGCTGTGAAAATCCAAAAACCTTTTACATCTGAGGTTTTAATACTTTTTTTTACACATGCTATTCAAAGGAAATTTGCCTCTGGCCAATATTTTTAAAGCCCAGGGACCAAGTGTCTCCAGTGTTAGGGCTTTATATCCCTAGTCTCTGTAAGGCACTCTCAGACATGTTTCCACTCGTGGAACCTTTTTAATTTCTTAAACCTCAGTTCAAACCAGAGGGTTTGGTCTGCCCCCAAATAAGGAGTGGAAACTTTGCTCAGGAGCGAAGTACCTGGATATGTTGCTCTCATCTTTTCCCAGCATTCCCAGTGACTATTGATAAAGCATATGGAAGAAATGAAGCAACCGCCCAAAAGCAACACTAATGATCAGATGTTAGCAGAGATGTAAAAAACCAAGGCTAAAATAAATCATCAGTACCAGACTGAAAGGGTTCTGGGTTGCACAGTGGAAATGCACCTTTGGTTCCTGGTTTTTGAGGTCATCATAAGGGTTCTTGAGTGGGAAGTTTGGTTATTTGGAAGAAACAGAGAGGAGCTGCTGTTTCTCTGCATTGAGAGAAATCTGTGGAGGTGATTTGGACATTTGATGAAAATGGGAGAGATTTCAGACATATCCCTTTGTGGGGAGAGTTCTGGGGAAATACTGTATGGGACTTGTTAAATGATAAATGACCCGCACTTGTATAGCGCCTCTCAGAGTAAGGACTCCGAAGCGCTTTACACTCATCCATTCATCCATTCACACACATTCACACACTGATGGTGATGAGCTACAATGTAGCCACAGCTGCCCTGGGGCGCACTGACAGAGGCGAGGCTGCCGAGCATAGGCGCCACTGGTCCCTCCGACCACCACCAGCAGGCAAAGTGGGTTAAGTGTCTTGCCCAAGGACACAACAGCAGAATTTTCTGTCCGGAGCCGGGATCGAACCTGCAACCTTCCGATTACTGGACAACCCGCTCAACCTGTTGCTCTTTCTTAGTATTTTTCAAATTTTTTAGCATAATTGGAAGAAGAGAAACATCTTTTATATAGCTCCTGTCAAAATAAAAATCAAGAGGCGCCACACAAGAAAAAAAAACAAAATAAAAAAATAACAGTGATTAAAAAAGATTTTAAAATGTCATTAATTTGGGAGAAGTAAATTATGATTTTAAAAATGTGAGGGAAGGGAAAGAGAAAATTAATAAAGAGGAAATCAGTGGATCCCAGAAAAGGCTGAATTGGTACAAAGAGGAGAGAGTGGTGATGAAGGTCACACCAAAGCCAGCATGAACAGGTGAGCTTCAGCTGCTTTTTAAAGGAGACCACTGAGTCCACTGATCTCAGGCTCAGGAGGAGAGCGGTCCAGAGTCTAGGGGCCACAGCAGCAGGTGATCTGTCACCTTTGGTCTTTAGCCTGGTGCTGCACAACCAGTAGGCTTTGATCACTGGACCTCAGGGACCTGCTGGCCTCAGCGTGAGGAGATGAAGGTGTGGAGAACTGTCGCAAGTTCAGAGCGGGACAGAATGGGACTCAGCTTAGCAATGTTCCTGAGATGGAAGAAGGAAGAGCGAACAAGAGAACTGACATGAGAATCCAGGGTGAGAGCTGGGTCAAAGGTCACGCCAAGATTCCTGACAGAAGGTTTGGTGTGAGAAGCAAGCTGACCAAGAGAGTCTCTGACGTTGGGAACCAGCTTGTCTGGGGCTCAGAAATATTAGATACATGATGCTTTACTTTTAATTTGAGAATTTCTAGTTCTCAGAACAAAGGCTTTTGATAAAAGCTTATCACTATTTATCTGGTTCAAGTGAATATTTGAAAATCAAAGAAAACCAATCAGATAAAGACTTGAGTGCCAATACCCAAATATAGCACAAAACCTTCGGCATGCGCTCATCCATTCCCCATCTGTCGCCTTCTCTGCATCCACCCGCTGCAGGCGCTCCAGCTGACCCCATCCGCCCTCTCCTCAAATCGCTGTTTTCATGCAACAACAATCCTGTCTCTCTCTCCCTCAGGCACAATGCAGGAACCCCCCCCCCCTGCCCATCCTTTCCCCACACTTCTTCCCTCTGCAACCTCTAATTCCTCTGCTACACAGTTTTCTTTCTCTTGTCTTCTCTTTAATTCCTCACACACACCCTCCTGTTCCTCCTGAGGCATACACAACTTAGGCCCCCCCTCCATGTTTTTTTATTTATGCCCTTTATGTCCCAATTTATCCCTCCCCTCTCGCTTTTTAGTGTTCAGTTTTCCCTTTTTCTCCGTCATTTTGTCATTCAATTAAACCCTCCTTTGTTTACATGCACTCTCTCTTTCTCTCTCTGTCACACACACACACACACACACACACACACACACACACACACACACTGGCTGCTCTCCCCTGCAGCATCCACCTGTGTTGTTTCTTCCCCTCTTCCTGTCTTTATGACCTCTCCTCTGCCCTCCATCATCCTCTCTGCTAACTTCTCAGTATCCTGCAAAGCCATCTATCCCTGTGGATATGTCAGAGAAAGGTGCCCCCCACCCCCCCACCCCCCCACCCCAGCCCCCACCCACCCACACACACCCCATTTTCACCCCACCCCCTCCTCTCTTCCTCCACGGCTGATCCGGGCAGGTTGGCTCGCGCTGCTAGCCGACTGTGTAAGACAGAATAATTGGTTCACCATAAAATGTAAAAGTGTCATTTTGAACAATGAGGTATGGGGAAGTGGAACAAATTGGAAGCTGGATTCAGAACATGGAGAAGGAGGTGGCAGTAGTAAGGGGGGCATTTGCATTGTGACCCGCACACACACACACACACACACACACACACACACACTGGAAAATGTGTGTTTCTTGATTTGGGTGGGACTGGAGGTCCCTCATAATGCAGCACCTGCTCTGTGTGTGTGTGTGTGTGTGTGTGTGTGTGTGTGTGTGTGTGTGTGTGTGTGTGTGTGTGTGTGTGTGTGTGTGTGTGTGTGTGTGTGTGTGTGTGTGTGTGTGTGTGTGTGTGTGTGTGTGTGTGTGTGTGCGCGCGCATATGTGGGTGTTTGTACTGTATACCATCAGTTAAGGATCTCCATTATCAGATCTGTAAGATGTCCTTCACAGGTCCCTGTAATACGAGAAGTTGTTTCTACATTCAAAACTCATGAACACTTAGTTTTTTTTAAGAAATCAATAGTAAAGCGGCAGAAAGGGGAGTAGAGGGTCTTGTTGGGTTTAAGGACAGAGTCGCCATTGCAGTTGTTATTGTTGAAAGTTTGAAGAAAGCTCCTTTCTTGTCTAGATCTTCTCCAGCTAGCAGACCTCCTGGTTCTTTACTTCCAGGCGAGGAAGGCCGGTCACACTCCAACTCTGCTCCTGATCCACTCCAAAAACGACCATTGGGATCACTGGGTTGGTTTACGTTGGTTCATATGGAAAAAGCATAGATAATCGGTTCTAATGACACACCTTGACCCCCTGAAGCCATCCTCCGTGGTCGTTAGTCAAAAGGGCCACGAATCTTCTCAAACACCAGTGTTTATCCTTAGCTCAGTCCCGCCCACTTGGATTTCTGTTGGATCAGTACGAGGAAATGTGTAAGGCCGTGGCTGTGTGACACGTCTAATACTATATGGAAAGATGTGAATAGCATTTGGATGTTGCAGCTAATCTGAAGTGAAAGAACAAACTGTGCCGACCTCATTAAAATGGACAGATTGTTCCACATGGTCTGATAGAAAGCTGAGTGACGTCAAGTGAAGTGACCCAGCGGTCTGAGAACACACAAATGGTGAAACACAGTCGTGTCTCTGGCCAGCGATGGTGTTTCCATTGTTTTTATGTATTTCAGAGACATTTTAACACGGACACATGTGTCCCTCATTCTCCTCCACCTCTTCACACAGTCACGTTTCCTGTCATCTCTGTCCACAAGTGCTCCTTCAGTCACGGGTGGAGAAACGTTTATATCATTCAACTTTTTCCTCGAGACGTTCTTCAGTCTGTTCCGTGCCTTCAACTCGATATCATCAGTACTTTTATTTTTTAAGGCGGGAATGGCAGAGCTTTTGACAAACAATCACAGTCTTGTGGTCTCCGTCACTTTCGATGGACAGTTAAAAATCGGAAAAGTCTTGCCCTTGCATTGACGTATCATGGCGTTGTGTGTCTCTGTACCCACACAGAGAGAAGTATAAATCAGTCTTAAATGTGATTTGTTGTCATAATTTAGGAGCTGAGCCAAAAAGAAATGCTCTTGATTACCTCTCACCATGAGATTTAGGTCATGACCCCAAACAGAAATGGCTGAAAAGAGCGTCCTTTGCTTAGAGGATGAAAGAAGAAGAAACCTCCTAGGTCTTTCCTCGCCTTCAGTAACAGACTGACATAAAGGGAAATGCACAGTCTGTTTTTATTCCGTTTATTTTTGATCAACAAATCTGACTAAAAGCGGCTCTCACACAGATGTGCAAGCATCTGTTTGGATAAAGACGAGACCAGCAGTTCACTTTCTGTGTCCTGGAGCTATAGTTCAATCAATACAACATGATATCTCCTCTCAACAAGCGCTGCCTCAGGAATCTTATGTATGAAGTTTAATGACCGTGAGTGGCTGCGCAGCAGGTCTATTATGTTAAGGTCAAGGACTGTCTCCATAGTTGAACGCCGAGGATGATAGAGACGGATAAGAAGGAAGTGGAAGAGAAAGTCAGGACCCTCATATCTCACAGGTGGACCGTGTCTCTCTGGGTGGATCTCTGCAGCCAGGTGTTCTCAATCCACATCTGCATGTGGACAATTTGTGTGCAGAAAGAGAGAGACAGAGAGAGGAGGTCAGCTCCACGGAGCACTCCTTCACACCTCGTCGGCACCTTGAGAGGAAGAGGGGAGGGAAGGTTGGATGGAAGAAGGGAGTCTCAAGGAGATTGGGAGGAGCTACTCTTCCCTTGCTTCATGAAGATGCCCCCCCCCCCCCCCCCCCCTTCTATATTTGATGCACAGGGTGGCCTTGGCAACGGGAACGCCGCTATGGCAACGCATGCAGTTTAGGTCTTGCTGCAGTTTGTTCAGAAAAAGAGCGGCAGAGAGGAGTGAGAAAGAGGGAGGAGAATGGGGGGGGGGGGGGGTACAGGGAAAACAGACAGGCTGTTAGCGCAGTTAAAATATGTTATCGCCGTGGCAACGCAATGTGGCAACTCTCCATGGCAACAGCAGGTGGCTCAGGGCTGAAATTTGGGTTTTGCATCTATTCATTTGACTCTGCTGTGTGTGTGTGTGTGTGGGGGGGGGGGGGGGGGTGTCCATCTCACCCATGCATCTGGTGAAGTGAAAGCTGCATCACAAGTGCACACAGCCAAATCCCCTCATTCAGCAGCTTAGTGCAACATAAAACACACCTCACATGACAAAGAGAAACAAGTGGGGCTTTCTCCAGGTGTGTGTGTGTGTGTGTGTGTGTGTGTGCGTGCGTGTGTGCGTGCGTGTGTGTGTGTGTGTGTGCGTGTGTGTGTGTGTGTGTGTGTGTGTGTGTGTGTGTGTGTGTGTGTGTGTGTGTGTGTGTGTGTGTTGAAACAAAGCCCCTGTGAGAGAGCAGCCCGTCTGGATTCAGAAAGGGGCTAAAAAAAAGAACGGAGCAGTCAGACGTGCTGTCTGAGGGAGAGCTAAAGACCACTCAACCTGGAAAAGCTGTTACAGCCCCCCTGCCTCTCTCTACATCCCTCCATCGTTCTCGTGGAGTTATGGCTTCAGCACCAGAGCTGTGCCTATTGTCTTCTTGCTCCAGTGTACACTTGAGTGAAGATATCTCCGTCTTTGTGAGGAATGCTGTCATTACCTCCCTCATTAGTGGTGCAATGATCACCTCAAGTTAGTCCTCGACTTCTTGTCTTCCTCTTACACTTGCGAGGACCAAAGCCAGTTTTAAATGCTGTTTGAAGGGCTTGCGGCACGCAAGAGAATCCACAAAATTGAAAAAAAGGATGATTTTATGTGTTTGCGTGGCACGAGTGAGTGTTAAGTGCATCGATGAGGGTTTAATGTGTGTGTGTGAATGGACCAGTGGCGGGTGGCAGGGGGCTGTCATGAGAAATTACCCCCGTGGACTGCAGTGTGGAGGCTGTAATTCTCCAAGGTAATCACAGGGAATAATGGCAACATTGGGACACCCGGGATTCTAATCACTATAATCAGAAGCATTGGCTTATGGGCTCAAATTCCTGCCTCGCTATCTGCCTCGCGATAAAGCCTGCCGGGCTGCAGCAGCATGATCAGATGATTGACCAGTTTTCTCTCTTTCCTTTTCCAGTCCTCCGCTGTGGTCGGGGAGTCCCCTCTTCAGAAAGAACAGAGTCCTCCTACAAGGTACCGTTTCACCTCTGCCGAGTCTTTCTTTCTCTCTCTCTCTCTCTCTCTCTGCGCCCCCACCCCCGGCCACCCTCTATGGATGTGCCAACTCCAATCATCTCAATTCCAAATCCCTCCTTTCAAAAGCGCACCTTGAGAGTACAGAGCACTGAGTTCTGACACTTGGCTCGCAGCCAAAGGAAAAATGCATTTTTTTCCCTCCTACAGAGGCGTTATTGAACGTTTGTTCAAAATAAAAAACTAGAAGTGATTGAGACAGGAGAGGGAGAGGAAGAAAAGGTGTTTTCCTGATTCCACTCATCCTCTGTCCCCCTTTACCTCATATTTTGCATTATTCCTCTTCTTCTCCTTTTTCTTCCAACCTCCTTCCCAGCGGGTAGACGACAGTTTAAATGGACATTCAATCCCAATCAGGGAACACTCCGGGAGCTCGCTGGGCCGCCAAGCCCTAAATGGAGGGGGAAATGGATACATTAGGTGTCTGTGGCAAGAGCCTCCATCACCGCTAATAATGGAGTCATAATGGTCATGGAGTCGAGCCTGGAACCCTGGACTCCCCCTAGTCTGAGCGATACGTCTGAGCAGCTGGACGGACAGACGGGCCGATCAGTAGATGAGTCAGGGTGGTCGAGTCGTAGAGCACCTGTGGGAACAAGGAAGGAAGAGAGAAATGTGTTTCCATAATGTGTTTTTGAAAGGAGGGAGAGCAGGAATGGCCAAGTGTGATATTCAGAGGCAGCAGGCAGAAAGAAAGTTATGACAGACAGCCAGAGGCAACGACAAGGAAAGAGTTGGGGTGTTCATGAGGAGGGGGCGGGGGGCTGTTAGTGCCCTCAATTATTACTTTACCAGAGCTGCTCTGCTCTTCGCTGATGTGGGCTGAAACCTGCCTCTTCCTGTCACAGAGCAGCAGCTCAAAGAAACGCAGGAATGATGGCCTGGGAATTGATTCCTCATCTCAACCAGCCAAACCACGTCTCCGAGCCATCGGAGTTCACCGCTCGGTAAAACTAAAGACACTCAGCTCGCGCAAAAACCGGTACGTCACTGAGCCGAGACTGTTGCTGTCCTCAAATTGGGAATAACATTCAGATTCTCCAAGATTTCTTCTTGTGTATTTGCATTACTTCAATCTCTTGTCACTGGAAGTTAATGTTCAACCAGTTTGAGTTATTGTCAGCAAAAACACTTTGCAGTTTAGTTTCCATCAGTCAGAAAGTGTGAGACATGTTTGATGTATTTGGCAGCGGTAAGGGACAAACTGAAACAAAATGAAGACATTTTGATCTTTTTCCGTCTTCACACTTCAGTTAGTTTTCCGTAATGAGTTCAAAAAGTGGCACGATCTGATCTGTATGTGGCGCGCGCGCGCACACACACACACACACACTCACACACACACCCACACACACACAAATGCAACAATGAAGGACATCGTACTGATTTTCACCATTCAAAATGAACCTAGCTAGAACATTCTGCTCAGACTCCTAAAAGAATAGACCTGAAACAGGTTTCTGCACCAAGGTCTAACACTCAGATCTAGCTGATTCGTGACCAACAGTCTCTGATAAAGTGTTTTCGGTCAGGCTCAGTACACTTGGAACCAAAGCAGAGCTAGTACCCAAAGAGCAATTTCACAGAGAACCTTTTTAACTTGTTATTTTTGAAAGATGAGTTTCACGTGCAAGCTAAACGTAAAAATAGACTTCCACCCCTATTTCCTACATTTGCCACTGATAGGAAATAAACAGGAAAATGCTCGGGTCGGAAAAAGCAACACAGATCTACATCACATTAGCATTCGTGGACTCACCAATCTCGGCGCACGACGGGGAAGGCTGTTGTTGATTTAGGGTGTTTCTCAATGTCAAGGCGCCTACAGTTGCAAGAAGATGTCTTGCGAGGCCAGGCGCCTTGCTTACAAGGACACTGTCCTTCCTTGGTCAAAGACAATAGTAAAATGGAACAGACTTGCGTCACGTGACCACGGCTTCCACAGTGGTCACGTAATATCACGTGACACGGGAGATAACATATTTTATACGTATTAGTTTCAGTATAAATTTTGAACAAGACTTTTACTTTGTAAATTGTGTAGATATTTGTTAAATTAAATATATAAGTGAGTTACTACCCGCTAGCCACCGAAGCTGCAACTACTAAGCAACTAACCAACCATAGATAACGTCTTTGGATCTAAAAAAAAACATTTTAAATCTGTTGACTTACTTTTAACATGAAATTTGCCCTCGAAGTAGCTGCTGGCTTCTGATCCACCATTCTTTTGAAAATACCTCGGTGTGTTCTGGGAAGACACCTCCCGTGTATCCTTGCTCAGCTAGCTAAACGGCTAACAAACGGAGAACACACTCTTCAATAGAACGTTAACATTGGCTTGGTTCATGATGACGCATCTCCTAGGCAACTGGGGCAGGATCAAGACATCAAGGCAAAGTTCCTTGGCATTGAGAAACACCCATGGTGTCCAAGAGAGAGCACAACTTGGCTAGTAAAAGCTAACCATTAGCATTAGCGACTTCACAACATGGCTTGCATTACTTGAGGTGATAAAATCTCATCATTGCAAAGTGAATAGGGTTAGTGGCAGAGTTGCAAGATGTCCGAATATCATGAATAATAATAGTAAGACTCCACATCCTGCTGTTTTCTGCCCCCCACTCCTCTGGCTAACTTTACTCTGTGCAGAGACTTACTTATAAGGTAATGGAGCTTTATTTCCGCAGAGAATGACTCACAAGCCATTTATTTATACTAGAGATCACTGCAACCGTACTGAAATAACTGAGAGCTTCAGAAGAGGTTGCAAGTTGGTACTCATTACTGGATGCATCGTAGAAGATAGTTGAGGCATTCTTAGTAGGTGCTAATGGAAAAGGGCCATTAGTGAGTAAGTTGCTGTGGCATTGTTTCCATAAGCTTCTGCAATGTAACAAGATTCATTTCCATCCAGTATTGCATCAAGTTTTCACCAAGATCTTGCATTGATGATGGTGCTTAGCATCAATTTTGGATGATTTAGACTTGATCTTTTCTTTGAGACATAAGCAGATAAAGGTACTTAAGTTCTTAATTTCGAAAAATTATGTATTTGTTTCTTCTTCTTGGACGGTGAATTGCAGACCACTCCATTGACTTTATGTTGTTCATTACTCGTATTGGTCCTACTGTTGTCCAGTTGCGTTCGGAGATATTTTGAGAGACAGTGGCTGTGTTCGAGTTGAGCTGCACCTCACCTGGAAAACAGACGAGAGCAGACGGAAGCAGCAGGGGGAGCGGCTGAAAGCCGGCGTTTAAGTCGGACAGATTTCCCTACAAGTGTAGCTCGGGGGTGACGATGGCTGAAGATATCGCGTTAGAGTCGGTTAGAGTTCATGCTTGTTTAATTATTTATTTTAATTCTGGTGCCTGTTAGCAGCTGAAACACATCCTCACGTGCTTGTGGATATCATATATTGTATATGGAGACCTGACTGTAATAATAAGTAAAGGTTATCAGCTGTAGGTTTATTGTGCTCATAGGAAACGTGACTAAAGAACACAGAACACATTTCTCTTTATGGCCTATATAGTTGTCATCATCAACATAACATGATTTACAGAATACATGTGACCAACTAACATTTCATGTTCTACCACTGGATGTTTGGATCAAAATATGAACCAATCAGATCTTAGATCAGGTGAGAGCCAGGCGTTTCCCGTCATCCCCTAGGTTTTGCAGCCGAGGGAGAGCAACTGCAGCGCCTTGTTCCAAAATCTGCGGCCGCCTTGATCTCACGAGGTTATCGTTGCCTACGTATGCATGATGTCAGAGCAAGTCGGCGTCAAGTCGGACACAAATCTAACCGGCATGCACTGTTCGCCGATCACCGCTGGTCTAATCTGCGCAGAACTGGCTCATCTCGAACACAGCCAGTCATAGATTCGGCCCCACGACCAAGCTCTGTCTATTCATTTATATATTTGGGTCCTGGCCACAATATATATTTTTATACACTGCTTGGCCAAAAAAAAAAGTTTTCACCCCCCCCCCCCCAAAAAAGGTCACACACCAATATTTTGTTAGACTGCTTTCATTGATTTCGTTGATTATGACACACATTCACACACATTACCCAGCTCTGTTAGCACAGCCTTGATAAAAAGGGACTTGGGCAACTGCTCACACCATTTACAATGCCACGCCCCTTTGTATAATCCACACATGTGCACAGGCACGCAAACTAGTAATAAATTAAAAATCTTTGAAATTTAACCAATAATATCAGACATTGCTTTTCAACCATGCTTCAACAAAATTTACTCATGGAACAGGTCTGGACAAAAATGGTGGAACCCCTAGAAAAGACTGAAAACAATGTGATCAAAGGGACATGTTAACTCAAAGTGTTTCCACTAATTAGCATCTCAGGTGTCTTCTATCTTGTAATCAGTCAGTGGGCCTGTATTTAGGAATCCAGGTAGTCACTGTGTTGTTTGGTGACATGGTGTGTACCACACTCAACATGGACCAGAGGAAGCAAAGGAAAGAGTTGTCTCAGGAGACTAGAAACAAAACTATAAACGAGCATGTTAACGGTAAAGGCTATAAGACCATCTCCAAGCGGCTAGATGTTCCTGTACTACAGTTGTACATATTATTCAGAAATGTAAGATCCATGGGAATGTAGCCAACGTCCCTGGACGTGGCTGCAGGAGGACGCTAGAAAAATTAATGACAAACCAAAGAGACAGATAATTAAAATGCTAACAAAAGAGCCCAGAAAAATGGCTAAAAAGGTCCGAAGTTAACTTCAGGGTCAAGGAACATCAGCGTCATTGACAGTTACAGGAATCATTTGATTGCAGTGATTGCCTAAAATGGTTGTTCAACAAAATATTAAGTTTGGGGCGCCATCATTTTGGTCTAAACCTCTTCCACTAGTTTATTTTTTAAATACTTTCATTGAAACAGGGTTGAAAACCAATATCTG